CACTAGATTTAGGTTAATTGATTATATTTTTAGTTATAATTTTGTTTTTTGAGTTCCACCCAATTTCCCATACATTTTCTCAATCTCATATTGATAAATATTTATGTGATTGCTCTAGCTAACTACAATTTTATCTCCTTAAGAAAATTTCACTAAGATACCTACCCTAAACTCTTATTTTTAGCTAGAAGATTGTAAACCAAAAGTTAAACTATTCTTTGAAATCTGCTGCTTACGTATAAATTATTCAGTGGGTCAAGTAGTAGGTTGTGTCCAACTTAAATTGATTTATTGCTTCAACCATATCTAACTCGTACATCAACATTGTAATACCCACAGATTCACTTGAACATTGTAACAGCCACAGATTCGCATGTTTTTTTATAGATAGCTAAAAGAAATTAGCACCACAAACTATATTTTCTTAAACCTACCATATGCTATATTGAGTACGCATGCAATTAATAATATATACATAGCTAGAAGACAGTGTATTCATTATATTCTTCTTCTGTGTTTAATAGGTTACACAATAATCTACTTATTAAAAATTATTTATGAAATATATTCATGTGGCATGCTACATATTGAAATGCATTAACACATAAACGACTCAAATGCTTTTACAATTGTTTGACAAGGACATGTAACCTAGTGATTGATATTACTGTTGTGACTGGCTGATTGCGTTACCGTTTGGATCGAATCCGTATAATGCAAAAATATATAATATTTGTTTACCGTTGCTTCTTATGCACAATAAATCTAAAAAAACTAAAAATATTAAATTCAACTATTTGTTCACGTAGACGTTTTCTTTCTTCAGTCGAGATTTGTCACTGCGTTAAATTTTAATTATAACTATTGATCATATGTTAAATTGACTAAGAATCTATAGAAAAACGTTGGTGGGAGACGAGAATCACATCAAATAGCATCTTAAATTGACATTTTTCAAATAACCAATATAAATTTATACACCGGATTTCTTCAGTCGAGATTTGTCAGTGTTTTGAAGGTTAGAAACTAAAATAATGTATGCTTTTATAATTACCTCAATACGATTGATTAGCTTAATCGATTACAGATATTTTTAATCTAATAAGACTAAAGTTTGAATATAATTTAGTAAAAAAAAAAAAAGTTTGAATATAACATCGCCCATGCATGCATGAGTTGAAAAGTCGACGGCATGTTTCAGGAAAACTATACTATAAATTAATCAACGTAATGTCCACGCATAGGATGTGCATGAAAGTTATGATTGAAAAGAATAATCGCTCCCTGCAAAATGTCCAATTATACGGATTATATACATATAATATGAAGCGTCTACAAAGCGTTTGTTTTTTTTTAAGATGTGCTTATACAAGACTTTTGTAGCCGTCCAGCTGATATACATATAATATGTGGTCAAACGTAATACGTATGATAGATTCTCTTTCGAAAATCGTTTAACCTATTATACGATATACACATAGATTCTCACTATATATATATGAGTTATATCGTCAAATAGGTCAATGATAAAAGATATGAAAATAGGTAAATGGTTAAATATTTATTTAGGTCAGACATTAGCCGAGTGCTCTTTAGCATGTTGTTCATTAGGTCACGCGTGAGGCTGAGTTGTCCACCCTTATCATTTGACATCATGCTCGAGGGCACCTCCACGATGGATCCATACCTTTGCTCTAATAATATGGACGAATAAGCCAATAAGGTGATAATCTGCCTCTATGCTCTATTATGTTGGCCTATAATGAATCGACCCGACCTCACTTTCCCTCCAAAAAAACTTTGCGGTATGCTACCTCTATGCACATTCTCGCCTCTAACATAGGCCTTAACTTCATAGAGATATCATCCACACATCTATAGATACACTAAATGACAATATCTCTCCAAAAATTTAAGATATCCTCCAATAACCCTTTTAGGTCCCAACCTGCCCACTCTTATGTCTTTTCTCACTGTGACATCAAGAGTAAAAAAAACTTGTATGATCCCGATGGTACATACCAACCGCGTTTCAACAGAGCAAACAAACTAAATTTCACCGTTTAAGCACCATATGAATGTGGCAATATTGTGGTCACCAACCGCCCTCAGGAAACATCTTTATTCCCAAAATATGGTATGCATATGCTGCACAAAAGAGACATGTGAAGCGACGTGACACATGGCCTAGGCCGAAGATGAAAGTAATCTCTACAAAGACGGTACTTTGGAATTCATAAAGAGTAAGTTACGTTTCGGCTGGAGAAAAATCTCCAAGAGAGAACTCTTGTCATTCAACTCTTAGGAAGAGAGCTCTAACTCCACTCTTCCTAGGAACATTTCTCTCTTCGAAACTTATTCTTCTTCAAAATAGTAGATAAAGATCCCGAGCTTCACACATGGTCTCTTAACACACACTTATTTCCCGAGTCATACTCTTTAGTTTTAGACTAATTTGGGGTCCGAAAGTTTTCGAGAAGCAAACCTTTTCTCATCCTCTCGAACACCATCCTCCTGACGTTGTCTCGTCGTCCACTCTAAAAGATGACATGGCCATCTCTCTGTAAATATCAACCATGTGTGGGCATAGTGTATCCTTAAGTGGACATAATTCCTAATCTAACATTTAGAGTGTGATGCAAGAGACGCAAGATCCTCTATTCAGAATATCGACCATGTGTGGACATAGTGTATCTTTAAGTGAGCATTGTTACATCGACGATTCTACAACGCACAAGTCTACCACCTT